TTGTCAAGCCAGTTAGCGGGCTTGGAGACTGTATTCCATCCCTGACCATCTGCCTGATCCTCTCTGTTCTCTCTCCCCCCACCCACACCCCCTTGCCTTCCAGATGCTGAGCGTAGTCTCATGTATCGGCAGAGCGGTGGTCCTTTCGGCGGCCATCTTGGTGACCACGTCCATCACCATGTCTGGAGAATGGGGAGAAGAAGGTCAGTGGGAAGCTGCCAGGCAGAGGTGTCAAGGGCCCTTTGCAGAACTGATGCCCGGGAAGTAAGGCTGTGCAGTTTGAAGTCTCATCCAGGGTCTGGCTGAGGCATTGCCCAGGCAGGGGTCCGGTATCCTGGATGCCAGGGGGAAGAGGAAAGGGGCATCAGCCGAGCGGGACTTTGGTGCAAGGGATAGAGGAAGGCTCTAAGAGAGAGAGAGCAGAGGGTTGGGGCAGGAGGTATCTGGCACGGACAATTGGCCCGTGGGTCCCTCCTGCTGGCCAGCTTGATCCTCTCCAGGGTCTCAGAAAGAAAATGGCTTTCCCTGCCCTGGTGCTTGAGATCCGGGGGGGCTGAACTGGATCGTGACTGGAGGGATCTACACATGCGCCGTGCTCAAGGCCTTAGACTCATAGAATGCCTTGGGAGGTGGTGGAGGCTCCTTCGCTGGACGTTTTCAAGCGGAGGCTGGACGACCCTCTTTTGGGTCTGTTGTAGGGCCGTCTTTCGGCCTGCAAGGTCCCAGTTCCGACTCCAACATTCTATGATTCATCGAGTTGGAAGGGGCCTCCAGGGTCATCTAATCCAACCCCCTGGACAATACAGGAAATTCACAAAGACCTCCCCCTCCATACCCGCAGTGACCCCTGTTCCATGCCCAGGAGATGGCAAAACAACCTCCAGGATCCTTGGCCAAACTGGCCTGGAGAACGATTGCTTCCTGACCCCAAAGTGGCCATCGGCATTTCCCTGGGCGCGTAAGAAAGGGCCTGAGGCCACCCTTCCTGCCCTCCCTCTCATGATCTGCCTAAGTTCACACAATCCGCATTGCTGCCAGATGGCCGTCTAGCCTCCGTTTGAAAACCTCCAAAGAAGGAGAGCCCACCGCCTCCTCCCGAAGGAAGCCTGGTCCACTGAGGAACCGCTCCAACTGCTGCCTTCAGCAGCTCCCACTTGCCGGCCGCCAGATCTCCTGCCCAGCCTGGAAGCAGCTCTTTTCCCCACCTGCCCGAAGGCATCTTAGCCAGCAGGCACAGCGGCTTGGGGCTCCTGACTCAAGCCAGACATCGTGCCCCCGATGCATTCTGCTGTCAGCAAGCAGAGAAATCGGCTTTGCCTTTGCTCAGGGGACGAAACACGCCCCGCTGTCCAGGTGTCTGTGTGTGTGGAGGGGATATTTATTTTAGTTTTTTTTTACTTAAAATATTTATATGCCTGCTAGAAGCCAATATGGGTAAGGACCGTGTAAGAACTGCTAGGCCTCACTCACGCTGCTGCATCTCTCTTCCAGGGGTGACTTACGGCCATCTGGGGAAGGACGTGACGCTGGAATGTGCCGGAGGGAGCCCAGGGTAGGTCCGCCCCAGAAGCGCATGCAGAGCCCCCAGGCCAAGGAAGGGTCCGTGCGCACTCCCTGGAAAGGGGGACCTACACTCACCAGCGCTGTTTCCGCTCTCTCAAACACAGCTTCCAGTGGGACTCCCTGGAACTCACCCCTTATTTCCCTGCTGCTGCACCCAAGCCCCACCCCCAGGGCTATTTTGGGGCAGGAACGCACAGGAACAGAGTTCCAGCTGGCTCCCGCGTTGGCCACGCCCAGCAGCAACTCATTAGCATAGCAGGCCACACCCAACAGCAGAAACTCATTAGGATTGGCTACATTAGGGGTGTGTGGCCTAACATGCAAAGGAGTTCCTGCTACAAAAAAAGCCCCGTTTTGTCAACAAACAAGGTAAACAGAATAAGAAGCAAAAGGTGGGTGTGGCTGGATGAGCACACTTCTGGTAACATGGGGGTGCGGGCTAATGTGCTAATGAGCTGTGCTGTCAGGGGTGTGGCCCAATATGCTAATGAGTTCCTGCTGTTGGGTGTGGCCTATTATGCTAATGAGTTCCTGCTAGGCTTTTTCTACAAAAAGAGCCCTC